CCCCAAAACGCCAAAACCCCAAAACCCCAAAACCCCTTGATTTCAAATACTAGTCTAATTAGGCTGATTTATATATATTTATGTTATTAAATCAAGATTATATTAGATTGATATCTACCTGAATGCCCTCTTCAATATGTTGTCTCCATCCAGTGTTGTAGCCAGAATCATAAAATGAATTTTCTAATGGTTTTTTATCAGTAAACGATCTATAATTTAGTTTATCTTTCTTGAAGGAATTGAAGTAATGTCTCTATTAGTCTTTGATGTAGCCAAAAGTGTCTTCTTATTTGATTCCCTAATTTGTAAGATAAAGCATTTGCATTTCCTAATTCTATTTCTACTACTATTTAAGCTATTCTTTAATAGGCTAGTCAATCATTATAGACTTAAGTCTCTTGCTTTGAATGACTATCTTAGGAGGAAATCTCCTCTGATTTTAATGCAAATAATGAGCTCTATAGTTATCTGAAGATAAGTGGTATGTGTCCGTTCCCTCGTCTCTTTTTTCACACTCTGTATTTATGTTTAATTGTTTCAAATCTGTTGTATTCTAATCTGGAATCTTGTATTTAGTAGTGGTAATGTCAAACTGTTAGATGTAGCTATTGCTATAGTTATTATTGTCGTCTTAAAAATCTCCGTCAATCGATGATGATACATACTACTTCTTAAGCTTGATCTTGGTAGAGACTATGTAATTCTTAGCTTGAAGCACATCATTCAAGAACTTTTCTCTATTAAATGGTAACTTTGATGTATGTCTCGGAGATATAGTCTTTTCGGATCTGATTTTCATAGAACTTCCCACAAATGCCTTCTCCTTATCCATCAGCCTCACTTTATTTCTGTATGGCAGGTAGTCATCCTAATACAGTTTGTTTTGCTTGAGTATGTTTTGAACCTGTTTTTGTTCATTTGGATCAGACATTCCAGTAGTTGCGTCCACTGAATTTCTCAGAGATCTAAAGTCATTCTGACTCTTATTTTGAATAGGACTTTTATTTGGAATCACAGTTAGATCAATCTAAGATTGTATCTAACTATTGGCGGTACCTCCACCTGCATCTATGATTTTAGGGAGCACCACTTTGTTGATATCTTCAAGTGCTTTCTTGATCTTAGAGTTCTTCACTTTGTTTCTAACCATATTCTAAGCAATCAGCATGTTCCACCGATTTGTAAAGGGCGAGTTAGAGTTATTATTCTAAAGTCTCTTATTAATGTTGGATTTAGCATCGATTTTCACTGCTCGGTTATTACCATCAGTCTTAATCTACTATAATTGTTGTAACAGAGAATGTTAATCCTTTTCATGACCTGAATACTGCGATAATAGTTATTCCCTTTTGCTTAAAGTTTTCTAAGTTTGAATCTGGCTTGAAGATTTTCTGTGCGATATGCTCTTAATCAATGGCACAAAGTTCACATCATTGTAGTAATATGGCTTGAGACTCTCATAATTTTTGTGAGAATTTCTATCGTTTCCGTGCTTGTCTTGAGCATTCGACATCATTGCTGAGTAGTCTATGGCCTGCTCTCTGTATACTCCAAGTTCTATTATTTACTTAAGAAGTTTCTGTGATGAAGACAGATCTTACGAGTTTTGCTACAATTTTATTAATAAGACTAATATGTACTTATTTCCTTATCTTAAGGATAGAGTTGTTCTAAGTAAGCGAGGGAGCGGGCTTTTAATCAATTAATGATTTTCAGATAGAGTTATCAGGATTTCGAAATTGCTTCTGCAGCTATTCATTGAAACCGAGTCCTATGGGATTTTATTAGCTCATTTATAAATTAATATATTGTAAGAATAAGCATTCATCTTAATGTTAATTTTCCCAATTTAGATATCCAGACTATAATACAGTCAAGGGGTTTTGGGGTTTTGGGGTTTTGGGG